CAAAGGCGTGTAGTCTTTCAAATTTTGCATGGTTGGATCTTAACAAGGTTCCAAGTAGAGCTTCAACATGCAACAAGAAGAAGTGGGAGAGAGACAAAATATTTTTTGAGTATGCTATTTGTTGAAAACAGCGTGTAAACTGAAACAGGCTGTTTTACAGCAAATCAAACGTTTAGGACCACGTGCCTTTAAAAGGCCAAATCTGTGCAAAAATGTGGATTCATTGTCCTTTTCTGTCAGGTAGTCACACTGTCATGACTTTCAGATGGCAAAGGCAAAAAAACCCTTTGTTTTTGAACTTGGTTGGGTTGTTAAACTGCATAAGCAGGGTCTTTCACAGCATGCCATCGCTGCTGAGGTGGATGCAGTAAGACAGTCATTTGGAGTTTCTTAAATGGTCTCTTAAATGGTTATGGAACAAAAACGTATATACATATACGCACACACACGTGTCCAGATGAACAGAGTCAACCTTTTGGGATTTACTTACCTGGATGACCAACACAATCTCACTGCATATTAAAGATCCAAGTATCCATTTAAGGCCCACAACTGCAGTCACACAACTGTAAGTGTCTGCATTCAGAACGAATGCCGTGTATTCTGTTAGAGGGTAAAAGTACAGCCCTGATAGTAACTGTCAGTCTGCCAGTGCTGTTGAGTTGTTCCAAACATCCACACTCTGGACACAAACCTGATTAGAGACATTCATGTGGTCACAGCTTTTCTCTCAGCACCCAGTCATCTCCACAATGTTAGTAAAGCTTCTTCTGACCTTCTCTAAATTCTCTCTTTCATTTGTCTTATAGAGCTTGAACCATGTGGAGCTTCTATACAATACATAATGAGACCCCCTACACATTTCGCTACTGTAGCAAGGGGAGAGAGGTAAGTCTACAAATCCAAATGATAAGTTTCACCCTTGTCTGTGGTCATTCATCCTAGTCCCTCCCCCTCTCTTTCCTTCAGGGTGTGCGTACAGTGCGTGGCAACAGCACAGGAGAGTACCTGCATGCATTACCACCATTTTGGGGCCTTTCCTTTAGATACGGAGATCATTCAGGAAGTGACCTCACTGGTGCAGGTGGTGGCGCTTCGTACACCATAAGAGAGAGTAAAGACCACAAAGAATTTGAACTGGTCCACAACATGTTAGGTAGTGTTGTTGACCGTTGTCCTAACTTTGGTAAGTATCAGTCAGTGGTGTGTACTGCTTAATGAGACCAGAGTTAAAAAACCTAGAGTTACTTACGAATGTATGACTCTGGATACTGTAGCTCCTGTGAAAAATAGAGCCTCAAGTCAAAAGTACCTGACTCCCTGGTATAATTCTTAAACACGTAGCCCAAAGCAGATAACTCGTGAGCTGGAGAGGAAATGGCATGTCACAAATTTAGAGATCATCATTTAGCCTGAAGAAATAGTTTGCTGCTACATTTCCTCCTCAAAGTCACCCAACCAGCCTGAGTTCCCTGCTACTCAGGAGGACCTGGTGTGGGACAGCTAATCAGGGCTAAGCTACTTTGGCCCACACCTGCTACAAATTCCTGGCTATTTATAGGCGTATTTTTCAATGATGTGGGTCTCAATTTCACAGAGGCTTTCTTCTAAAGCTACATACACTCTATATTTATTACTATTTTATGCTTTATATTTATTATTATTTAGAAGTACTATTAGCGCCAAAAGAGGCAAAGCAATAACTAAACAATTGACACACTGAGCAGAAAGTACCATGAAGAAAGCACAGAACAGGCCACACTGCTAATGACACAATAAGTGGACACTGAATATAATTTGCAGCTGACTGAAGAGGAAGTGTGCCCTGATAATCATACATAGGTTACATTATGAAATAAATTGCTAAGTACAAGTTTGAAATTAACTGGGCTGCACAGATGTCGCTACACAAGCCATTAGTGTGTACCAGGAACAGGACGTGACACAGTATTCCAGTGAGAGCCAATACCAAGCTCTTTGCAGTGTAACATGGTTTCATGTCAGAATCTTTTAAAATATTGATTACTCTGAACAATCATTAATTTCTCTGCAGGCAGAATTGATGAAGAGAAACAAGAATGTGAGAAACACCAACAAGAGCAGCGACACAGGAAAGAAGAAGAAGAGAAAAGGCGTCAGGCAGAGCTTGAGCGACAGAGGAAGATCCAAGAGCAGATGGAAAAGAATGAAGTATTGAGAGAAAAGCAACGTCAGCAGCACTCTCAAGTTCTACACCAGCTCATGAAAGAGTAAATCTCTCTT